CAGATGTGGAGCCAGATGTGGAGTGCATCCAACTCAGAGAGGGTGGGGCGAGAGGCCTAGGTGGCCCCACCCCAGCACAGATGTCCCCCACCCATTCTAACTGGCCAGGTAAGACTGGCCCACCTGAAACAACAGTGTAACGGTATGAACTGCTATGTAATGGAGGCTCAGAGATGGGCCATCAAGGAGGAGAATGCACGAACCACTGGTTCTCCAAGTGTGGCTCCTGGGGCAGCGGCAGCATGGCTGGGAACTTGTTAGAGACGCAGGTTCTCAGGCTCTGGACGCAGGGCGCGGCCCGGCCACCTGGGCTCTAAGGCGTCCTCCAGCGAGTCCTCCAGGCGACCGCCGCACGCTCAGGTGGAAAGCTGCTGACAGAAACTAAGGAGGTGGGGATTTTGTTGCTGTTTGTTGGGGAGCGCTGAAGAGTTGGGTACGTGGTGGGAAAAATAAAATTGGGGAGAGAGGGCGAGGCCAGATTCCTGAGGGTTATCAAAGAACGAAATTATCACCAGCAGGAGGCGTGGAGACGCAGTGGCCTGGGGGCCGGGCAGTTGTCCTCTCCCCCTGCCTGCCCGTGAGGAGGCCTGGCTGGGAGCTGGGAGCTGCGCCAGGACTGTTGGTCCCAGTTGCATGAGGCAGCGCGTTTCCAGTTGCTGCCACTCTACCTGACACCAGGTACTCAGGAGCTGCTGTCATTATTTCAGCTTTTCCGTTTTCTGTTGGTTCTGGTGACGTGAACATGGAGCATCAGGTTGTCAGGAGCCGTGGAGATGGAGGAGGGATGTCAAGGAGATTCGCCTGCACGCGGCCCACAGAACGTGCCCGGAGACCAGCCCTCGGTTCTGAGAGCTGTGCTGCAGGGGGAACGGGAGGGATGGCCAGTCATAGAGGGAATGGACGCACAGACAAACTGATCCAAGTATCGTACTCATTTCCTGGGATTGCCTAACAAGTGACCACAAACCAGGAGGCGTAGGACAACAGAAATGTATTCTCTCGCAGTTCTAGGGGCCAGAAGTCTGAGATCAGTGTCCCTGGGCTGAAATCAAAGAGTTGGCCGGGCTGGTTCCTTCCGGGCGCTCCGAGGGAGAAGCTGTCTCAGGCCCCTCTTGCAGCCCCTGAGGCTGCGGCCATCCCGGGCGGTCCTTGGCTTGTGGCTGCATCACTCCAGTCTCTGCCACCATCGTCACACGGCCCTCTCTCTGCCTTCACGTGGCCTTCTTATATGGCTACTGGTCCTTGGACTTAGGGTCCACCCTAGTCCAGTGTGACCGCATCTTAACTGATTCCATCTGCAAAGACACTTTCCAAATACGGTCCCGTTCTGAGGTTCTAGGTGGGCATGAATTTGGGGGGAACGCTATGTAACCCAATATGTGTATTTAAAGGAAAAGCAGAATGGAGATTGAAATGATGGGTGAAGAAGAGAGAGAAGGTAGAGGTGAGGTGAAGGCGGTGAGGAAAAGGCTTCTGCCCCGGAAGAGAAGGATCGCGAGGGCGGAGGCAAGTGAGTGTGTGACAGAAGCCTGAGGCCGTGGTGTTGGAACGTGGGGTTTCCGCTGAGGCCTGTTCGCTCCCAGCCCTGGGCAAGCCCACAGCTGCAGCAGGTGCTCGGGAAATGAGGAAAGACGGCAGAGGGCATCATGCTCTGGCCAAAGGGGGCAGACGGTGGCATTTTCCACTTTCTGTCCCATTAAAAAAAAGGAAGACTGGCCCTCACTTTAGGGGCTGAAAAGCTCCAGTGTACTAAAAATTTGGCGTTCTATGTAGTTTTGTCACTCGTGATGTTTTCAAGAGCCTAAATTGAGGCAGATTTAATTCTGTGGTGAACAAAATAAATTCTGCTAGCATTTTTAAATATGTTTTTTAACTTTAGAATAGTTTTAGATTTACAGAAAAGTTGCAAGGATAGTACAGACAGTTCCCATATTCCCTGTGCCGGTCCCTTATTATTACTATCTTACATTAGTGTGGCACATTTGTCACAACTAATGGACCAGAATTGATCCATTATTATTAATTAAAGATGTACTTTATTTGGATTTTTTTTTGTAGGATTTTTATTGGGGAATTGGGGGATGGGAACAGCGCTGGGGAATTGGGGGAAGGGGAACAGACAAGTTGCTGTCGTTTTGTTCTTCAGTCTAGTTGTGGAGGACGTTGCTTCACTGGCCCAAGTTGGCACCATCATTGCGCTCTTCCCAGGCGAGGCAGATCAGTCGCCGGCTTCTGGACGGCCGCTCACACTGGCTGCTGGCTACACACGGTAGCCCATGGCAACCCACTGCCACAGGGACTGCAGCCTATGCCGTCGCCAGCGACTCACGGCAGCCCAGCTCCAGGTTGAGCTGTTGTTCAGCATCTTAGCTGTGGAGGGCAGTGTCACTGGCCTTCATGTGGGATCCGAACCAGGGCCCTCTGGCGTCCCAAGCCAGTTCTTAACCATCGCGCCACTCGGCCGGCCCTTTATTTGGATTTTCTTAGTTTAATCCCTAATGTCCTTTTTTTGGTTCCATGATCCCTCCAGGATTATATTCAGTCATCATGTCTCCTTAGGCTCCTCTAGACTGAGCTTCTCAGGTTTTCCTTGTTGTTGATGACCTTGAGAGTTTTGAGGAATGCTGGTTAGACAGTTCATTGACTGTCCTTCAATTTGGATTTGTCTGATGTTTTTCTCATGGTTAGACTTGGGCTATGGGTTTTGGGGAGGACAGCCATAGAGATAGAGTGCTATTTCCGGGACATTCTATCAACATGACTTGTCACTGTTGTTGTTGACCTTGGCCACCTGGCTGAGGGAGAGCTTGTCAGGTTTCCCCACTGTAGTTACCCTCCTCCGACTTCCATACGGTACTGTTCAGAGCCAAGTCACCACGCGTCCCACATGTGAGGAGCGGGGAGCTGTGTTCTGCCTCCTCGAGGACAAAGTACGTACATCAATTATTCTGCATGGGAGAGTGATCTTGTCGCGTTCATTTAGTTACTCAGTCATTTATATCAGTAAGGACTTGTGGATATTTATTTAATACTTAGGACAAGTAGTCCAGTGCTACTTTATTTATCTAGTTGCTCCAATTGTTCCAGCTCTGGCCACCGGGAGCTCTTTCGGTTGGCCCCGGTGTCCCTTTCACATGCCCTCATCAGTACAGGGACTTTGGGTTCTCTTGCTTTTCTGAGCACTTCCTTACTTTCTGACACTACAAGATGCGCCATGCTTGTGTTGTATGTTCCCTACCCAGCCCTACATTCAGGCAATTCCCCGAGGAGTCCTGGTTCCTTTCATTGTGGAATGGATAGAAACCAAGGCTTGGGCACTGTGTGTCATGGCTTTAAGCTCCCTCGGCAGACAGAGCCAGAAAACACATGTGTGTTTGTACTAACATGCGTATACATACACATCTATGATTTTGTACGTGTAGCTATGTCAATCCAAACGTGACTTTGTCCTGCTGCCCCCTGGTTTGCTTCATGGCCACCTGGTTCATTCCAGCCTCCCCGCTCGCTTGTCTGTAACGTCCTCTCCAGCAGTGAGAAGCCTGGCCCCCACCATCCTCCGTGCATTTACTTCATGGTCCAATTCCAGTGTTCATGTCTAGTGGTTTCAGAATTGTTAACCCATGCTCCCTGTGAGGAAGAGCTTTACTAACTAGAATACAGGGCTCTGTGCTCCGAATTGATTTTTATTTGCAAAAATTTCACAGTTTGGGCTATAAGAGTCTGTAGGTTTGGACAAATGTGTCGTGTCCCCTATCTACCAATACAGTACACAGAATAGTTTCACCTAAGTAATCTCTTGTCCTTCACCCATTTAACACACACACAACCTCTGGCAACCACTGGCCTTCTTTTCATCTGTTTATAGACTGTCCTACAAATGAAACCATACCGTGTGCAGCCTGTCAGTCTGGCTCCTTTCACTCGTCGCCATGGATTTCAGACTCATCCGGCTTGTGTGGGTTTCTTCATGGCCTTTTTTGCTGAATCAGATTCCACGGTCTGGATGGACCACAGTTTGTTTATCCATTCACCAATGGAAATGCATCTTGGTTGGAGTTTTTAACGATTACAAATAAAGCTGCTATAAATATTAAATGCAGGTGTCACGTAGACATAAGTTTTCCAATCAGTGGTAAATACCTCGTGTCATGCAATGACTGGATTGTACAGTAAGACTATATTTAGCAACTGCCAGCCTGTCTTCCAAAGCGGCCGCACCATTCTTTATTCCCACCAGCAGTGAATGAGAGTTCCTGTGGCTCAGCACCCCGGCCAGCAGTCGGTGTTTTGTTTGGTTTTTGGATTTTAGCCATCCTAATAGGTGTACAGCGATATCTCATTATTGTTTTAATTTGCATTTCCCTAATGACAAAAGATGTTTAACATCTTTTCATATGCTTATTTGCCATCTGTATATCTTCTTTGGTGAGGAGTCTGTTCAGATCTTTTGCCTGTTTTTGTTTTGTTTTGTTTTTTTTAATTGGGCTGTTTGTTTTCTTACTGTTGAGTTTTTAGAGTTCTTTTTATATTCTGTATACAAATCCTTTATCAGCTATGGGATTTGCAAATATTTCTCCCAGCCTATGACTTGTCTTTTCATCCTCTTAACAATGTTTTAAGCATTTATAAATTATAAAATTTTTATAATTTTCATGAAGTCCAAGCTGTCAATTTTTTCTCTTATGGATTGTGCTTTGGGTGTTTTATCTTAAAAGTCATCACACAGATTTTTCTCCTCTGTCGTCATCTAGTTTTATAGTTTTGGATTTTACACTTAACGTCTGTCACCCCTTTTGAGTTCATTTCTGTGTAAGACGTGAGGTTAGCATCTGCGTTCAGTATTCCAGCACCATTTGTTGAAAATCTCCATTGAATTGTCTTTGCACCTTTGTCAGTTCTGCTGGCATTTTCGACCTGAGGTCCTTTTCCTTGGTATGTCTCTTAAAGCATCACCTTGACAAAGGGGCAAGCTTTGATTTCCTTTCCTGCTTGTCTTACAGCAAGACCGCTGGTGCAGACCTTGCCTCTACGAACCACCGTCAACAATGGCACCGTATTACCAAAGAAGCCAAGTGGCTCTCTGCCGTCCCCCTCAGGGGCCAGGAAAGAAAGCGCTGTGCTGGCGACAACCAAAAGGTAGGTGGGCATCAAGTGCCTTCACTGAGTCTAAAACCAGTTCCATCTCAGATTTTAAAACACGTATTTTTTTTATATGACACTGCAAGTTTTCATCTGAGTTAACGCTTGTAAAAGTACAGTCTTTGGTGTGTTACCGTAATAGGAACCATGTAGGTTTCTTGTTCCACTTTGTAAAATTTCATCATGTTATCTTTGAACTCTCATTCGCTAAAACTACAGTGTGCTGTTTTGTATTTTTACTTAAAGTTCCCTTTTAAAAAACAGATGGGAATATAACTTATGCAAAAAGGATTATGCTGTTCCCAAGTTCGTACTTGACACATGGCTAAATTCAGATGACCATACCCACCTTAAATTTTTAATCTATAAAATTTGGATAAGCTTTTAAATTGTGCCTAACAGCGGGGTTCTAGATATTGTCGCCTGTCAGGGCATAGTTTGCGGTTTGCTTTTTTTAGTAATTTCATAATTATCACGTTGAAATTTTATAATTTAATATGCTGGGCCACTTTTCTAAATTTTTAGGCTCTGGAAAATTAAATACCTGATGGAAAGCCTTAAAGAAATTCTTCGGCAATACTGCCTCGTGGGCTTGTGACAAGAACTTGTCAAGTTCATTAGACTAACTGCCTGATGTGCGCTGGGGACCTGGGGTGCAAACATGCTGTGTGGGGGACAGGGTGAAACATGGGCTTGTAAGAGTTAGATTTATGCTGGGTTGTGACTGGGAATGAAAATGTGGCGATCTCATCTTTTCAGTATCTAGTGTTCATACATAATGGCCTATTCTTGAAGCAAATTTTCATTGTGTTTCATCAGATAGGAGTTTCATATACTTATTGTTTGTGAATTTTAAGAAAATTGGTTTTGCAGGGCTTTCTAGAACTTTAAAATGAAATCCTTGGCCTCATTTCTATATATGTTTAATACTTGTTTGAATGACTTATTTATTTGAATACACATGAAATGACTTATGGATTCTTAATTGGCAGCAGTAGATAGACTATCTACCATTTATCTAGATGTTATAAGTTTGACAAGACTGACTTTTTTAAAGATTCAGGTTGCCATCTGTTATGATTTTTTTATTGTAAAAAACAACACTAAATTTATCATCATAACCATTTTAGTGTACAGTTCAGTAACTTTAAGTAGATTCACACTGTTGTACAAGATGTCTAGAACTTTTTCATCTTACAAAACTGAAACTCTATACCCAGTACACATTAATTCCTCCCCTTGCTCCCATCCTCGGCAACCACTTTTTCCCCTTCTGTTTCTATGATTTTGACCACATTAAATATTTCACAAGTGAAATCAGACAGTATTTGTCCTTTTGTGGCTGGCTTCTTTTGCTTAGCATAATATCCTCAAGGTTCATCCATATCGCAGCATGTGACAGGATTTCCTTATTTTTTAAGATGGCGTAATATTCTATTGTGTGTATGGATCACATTTTCTTTATCCGTTTGTCTGTCAGTGGACATTTGGGTAGCTTCCACCTCTTGGTTGTGAATAATGCTGCAGTGAACATGAGTGTGCAAATATCTCTTTGAGATCCTGCTTTGAATTCTTTTGGATAAATACCCAGAAGTGGGATTCCTGGGTCATATAGTAGTTCTGTTTTTATTTTTTTGAGGAACTTCCATAATGTTTTCCTTAGTGGCTGCACCATTTTACATTCCCACTAACGGTGCACAAAGGTTCTCATTTCTCCTCATCCTTGCCAACACTTGTTGTCTGCTCTTTTGATAGTGGCCATCCTGATGGGTATGAGGCAATATCATGGTTTTGATTTGCATTTCTCTTATGATTAGTAGTGATATTGAGCATCTTTTCATATGTTTGTTGGCCATTTGTATATCCTCTTTGGAGAAATGTTCAAGTTCTTTCCCCATTTTTAACTGGGTTCTTCATTTTGTTGTTGTTGTTGAATTGTAGAAGTTCCTGATATATTCTGAACTTATCACATATATGATTTGCAAATATTTTCTCCTATTCCATAGGTTGCCTTTTCACTCTATTAATTGTTTTGTTTGATGCACAGAAAATTTCAAGTTTGATATAGTCCCAATTGTCTATTTTTGCTTTTGGTATTATAGCCAAGAGATCATTCTCAAATCCAAAATCCTGAATTGGAACCCTGTGTTTTCTTCTAGGAGTTTTATAGTTTTAGGTCTTTAATCCATTTTGAGTAATTTTTGTATATATTGTAAGGTTAGGGCCCCACTCCATTCTTTTACATGTGGATATTCAATTTTTCCTACACCATTTGTTGAAAAGACTGTCCTTTCACCCTTGTCAAAAATCATCTAGCCATATATGCAAGCGTTTATTTCTAAGCTCTCTATTCTGTTCCATTGAGTCTCTGTATTATCTGTCTTTATGCCAATAAAGATACCACACTGTCTTGGTTACTGTTACTTTGTATGTTTTGAAATCAGGAAGTGTGAGGCCCCCAACTTTGCTCTTCATTGTCAAGATTGTTTCAGCGATTTGAGATCCCTTGAGATTTCTTATGAACTTTAGGATAGTTTTTTTTCTATTTGTGCAAAAAATGCCATTGGGATTTTGATAAGGATTGCATTGAATCTATAGATGTATTTGTGTTCTATAGACATTTTAACAATACTAAGTCTTCTAATCCATGAAAATGGGATGTGTTTCCATTTTATGTCTTTTTAAATTTCTTTTAGCAATGTTTTGCGGTTTTCTGTTACAAGTCTTTCATGGCCTTGGTTAAGTTTATTCCTAAGTAGTTTATCCTTTTTAATGTTATCACAAAAGGATTGCTTTCTTAATTTCCTTTTTGGATTAGTTATTATAAGTGTATAGAAATGCAGCTGATTTTTGTGTATTGATTTTTGTATCCTGCAACTTTGTTGAAATTGCTTATTAGTTTTAAATTTTTGTGTGTGGAATCTGTAGCATTTTCTACACATAAGATCATGTCATCTGCAAACAGAAAATTTTACTTTTTTTTTTTTCTAATTTGGATGCCTTTTATTTCTTCCCCTTGTTTAATTGCACTGGCTAGGACTTCCAGTATTATGTTGAATAGTAGTGGTGAGAGTAGGTATTTTTGTTTTGTTCCTGATCTTAGAGGAAAAGCTTTTAGTCTTTCACCATTGAATAATGTTAGCTGTAGCCTTTTCATATATGGCTTTTATTATGTTATAGTGCTTTCCTTCTATTTCTAGTTTGTTGAGTTAGTTTTTAACATGAAAGGATGTTAAATGTTGTCAAGGGCTTTTTCTGCATCCATCTAGACAATCATGTGATATTTTCCTTTATTCTGTTAATGTGGTGTATTGTTAATTTTCATATATTCAACCATCCTTGCATTCCAAGTGTGGATCCCACTTGGCCATGGGGTAGAATTCTTTTAATGTACTGTTCAACTCAGTTTGGTAGTATTTTGTTGAGGATTTTTGTATTAATGTTCATCAGGGTTATTGGTCTGTAGGTTTTCTTGTGTCTTTGTCTAGTTTTGGTATCAGAGTAATGCTGACCTCAGAGAATGAGATTGGAAGTGTCCCCCCCTTCAGTTCTTTGGGAGAGTTTGAAGAGGATTGGTATTACTTCTTCTTTAAATGTTTGCTAGAATTCTCTGGTGAGGCCATCTAATCCTGGTCTTTTCTTTGTTGGGAGATTTTTGATTACTGCTTTAATTTCCTTCCAGTTATAGATCTGTTCAGGCTTTTTATTTGTTTATGACTCAGTCTTGATAGGTTGTATGTACCTAGAAATTTATCCATTTCCTCTAGGTTTTCCAATTTGTTGGCATATATTTGTTTATAGTGGTCTCTTAGAATCCTTTTTATTTCTGTAACATCAGTTGTAATCATTTCTAATTTTAGTTGAGTTTTCTCTCTTTTTTCTTAGTCTAGTCTAGCTGATGATTTGTCAATTTTGTTGATCTTAAAAAAAAATTCTTGTTTTCATTGACATTTTTCCTATTGGTTTTCTGTTTTATATTTCATTTATCTCTGCTGTAATCTTTATTAACTCTTTACCTCTGCTAACTTTTGGTTTAGTTTGTTTTTCTTTTTCTAATTTCCTGAGGTGTAAAGTTAGGTAGTTGATTTGAGATTTTTTTTTTTCCTTTTTAATGTGTTGACAGCTATGAACTTCCCTCTTGGTAGTGCTTTCTCTGCATCCCATAAGTTTAGTATGTTTTATTTTCATTTTCACTTGTCTCCAGACATTTTCTAAATTCTCGTTTGATTTCTTCTTTGACCCATTGATTGTTTAAGAGTGAGTTGTTCAAAATATTGTTTCCCTGAAGATATCACATATTAGAACTGTTCACACATACAGTCCAATAATTATTGACTTAATAGGTGTGTCAGAGTAGCTGATGAAAACTCCCAGAGTCTCAAAAATTTCTGCACTTTGAATATTGACAAATTCATTGTTTTACAGCCTACCAAAGTGTGTATGTTTGGGGAGGGGGTGGGGAACTTGTTCACAATGTAATCTAAAGGAGATAAACATCTGTAGGGATAAATATCCAATGATGATAATATACAGGAAAACACAAGCCATTTCTATTCTTTATCCCAATTAACTTGAGGAACCCTAATGATGAAGTGCTATGACCTCCGTGATGTGCAGCTTGGTTTCTTTCTCACTTTTTGTTTCTGCTTAATATGCAAATGTGAATGTGAGGTCTTCACTGTGTCTGCATAAGCTAACTTAGAATGAATTTAAGTACAGTTTTATGAAATATTTCTATTCAAATAAATTCCTAAAAATGAATGTAAAAAGAGTGAGTTGTTTAATTTCAAGATTGACTTTTTAAAGTGGCAGATAGTTAGTGAAAAATGGGATTCTTTCCCTTTATTCTTGAAGAAAATAGAATTTTATAATTCATCCCTCTTTGGAACTTAAATAATGAAAAAAAATTTTCAGAGCAAAAAAAAAATAAAAGTAAAACTCTGATAAGTTATTGTCTAGCTGCTAATGGGAAATACATGGTTTTCTAGATTGAGTGTCCAGGACTCTTGGTTTCCTGAGTAGAGTGTAGTGATTCACTTTTTTTTTTCCCTTTGGCTTTCATGGGCTTCCATGGATGTGAGTTCCCATCCATTTGGAAGTCGGAAACCCAAACATTAGCATCTGATTGTTACTCCATGGTGATGTTCTTATAGATCTCTCCTTAGGAGAGAATTTTGAAAACAGGAAGAAGCTGGCTATTGTGAATATGAGAATTAAAACAACTTCCAAGCCATTTCAAATATGATTACAATCATGTAGAACTTTTTCTGTAATCAGAGTTCCACATAACGGAGTTGGGGCATCTGCAGTGTGTGGAGGGATATAGGTTTGTTTTCTTGTCTTTGGGGTTTTTCAGCCTAGTGCTTAAAAACAAAATCCCCTTTGGAAATTGTCCAGCACCCAGGGGTTGTGCTTTGTGTTGCCAATTAAGACTTCGACTGGGGACTGGACTTGGACGCCTTGGGAAAAGCTTTGTTTCCATTTGTCAAAGGAAAAAAGACAGAAAATCCGGGGAAGACAGTGTAGGTCATACCTTGCTCCATAGGGGTCCCAAAGCTGACAATTGAATCACACTTCCACTGGCTCAACACAGAGACCATCACTCATTCTTTCCGCCCCTAAGTGGAGATTTACAATAGGGCAGAGCTGTGAGAAGAGAGATCAAAAGAATAAAAATGGTACAAAAAGAGAACATTATTTAAAAAACGCCCTGCTCCCAGTGTAGGAGAAGGATGGTCAACATCTCCTTTCCAAATAAATAGCTGACAATCCTTTGGAAAAATAGTTACACTCGCTAGAAACATGGCATTTGTTGATGCACCAGAGACAACGCTGGATACATACACAATTTAAAGAACAGAGAAACAAATTCTGCTTTTGGTTGTGTTTTTTTTTTAAATATGATTTCTAATATTTTACCATTGAGATTCATTGAAATGTAGGTGTTAAACTTATGCTTTGGGTCTGTTCTCAGTAGCAGAATAGAGGTGGAAATATTCTGCTGTGAACAGGGGAAGTGAATTGGCACCTATCCCTTCATCAAAAGTGATGCTGGTCTCTCTGGGCTCAGGTAGTTGGCTTCACATGGTAGCAAAAGAAGCGCCATTTGATCTGGCAGACCACCAGCCTTCTTAGGAAATGACTTAGTTCTTGCCACAAAGATACGTCTTTAGGCAGTGAAAGATAAGAGCATTTCTTAATTATCGACACGCGTGATCTCAGTCTGTCAGAATTATCTCGTAACGAGCAGGACAAAAGCCAGATGAGTCCTGGTCCATGTTGACTCGCCAGTGCTCAGCATAGTGCCCAGTATATGGTCAATTCCTAATATAATAAGTATTTGTTGAGTGAATAATTGTTTTCCTCTAGTGTTAGTCGCCTGGTTATCATCATGACATGACATCATCCGAAAATCTCTGGTCACACATAATAGCTACCTGTCAGATTTCTGATTGGTTTTTTTTTTTGTTTTGTTTTTTTATTGTAAAAGTTTGGGATCATTGCAAAATTTTGGAAAACCAACTCTTGATTCCAAGTCGCATAAACGAAGGATATAATTATAGCTTCTTATGCTTGGAGTTATCTAACCATAAGAAGACAGATTGCCACTTTTCTTCTGGTCACCAGTTTCCATGGCAGAAATTTCAGCATGTCTAATAAAATTTCGTTTACACTGGCAAAAGCCATCGACTGCGTGTGTAATGTAAAATGTGAAGAGCCGTTATATTTTCCAAACTCAGAAGGTTGGGTTTGGGAGGGGGTTAGAGAGCAGAAGAGAAAAGAAGAAATGACGGTATCTGTGTATTTCTACACCTAAAGTACTGTACTCGCCTTAAGCACTAAAAAAATGTGCTGCGTTGTTGCTCAACCTCTCCCAAACCAGTACGTCCACCACTTTCAAAGTAAAGGGCATGCCGTCCAGAGGGAGCATAAGTGCTCTGGTCTTCCCTCTGGTTATTTAAGGAGGCTTCTCGCAGTGAGTATACAGCATGACTCCCTCTGGCTGCCCTTGTTCCTGCGAATGTCTTGTCTTCAAGCTTTGTGTTCTGCCCTTCGCTCTGAGTCCTAGCAAATCCTCTTCAATTCATAAGAGCTCTTGGCACTCAGAAGGAAATGTCTTGGTTGTTTTCAATGTATACAACAATGGTAGATTTAAAAAAAAACAAAAAACGTTACATTTTAATGCAGATGTGTAAATGACACGTAACTTGAAAGAGCTGGGATGGATTATGTTCAAGTCTATATATGCAAACCACAGCGTTTTTCCATGTCAGTGTGTGGTGTGTGTTCTGTAATTTATTGAAGCTTGCCAAAATATTTTTCCACGCTTTTATGATTGCACTCATGTTTATTCTGCTTTGTTTCTGTGCCTCTTATACGTAGATTAAACACGTCTCTGAGTCTTCTCAATGCAGGCAAACTGAATAGATCAACGTTCAGGTGAGGGGTACTTAGAATTACTTGGTAACCCTAGCTGCTTGCCCGGTAACTTCCCCTTCCTTTTAACACAGTAGCTTAGAGATCTTACGCAATGCCTCCCGTTCACCAAGTCTCAGATCATGTAACTGTATTAATTATTGACATTTGTTGGATTTTTAGATGTTCAACAGGTCCTCAAAACTGTGCTTCAGGGTTTCGTAAATCGCAGGTGGTCTTAACAAGTTGCTTTATGCCTGATTTTGTTTCCTCCTCTGTAAAATGGGGTAATGATACTTTGGCAGAGGCTTCGTGAGGCTTCAGTTAAGTGACGTGTGTAAAATGCAGAGCTGTTAATATACGTGAAGTGTTGGCTGCCCGCTGAGGTTGCCATCATTATCTCCTATTAACTCTTCCAGCCACCAGGCTGAGTGTTATTATCAGAAAGTTGGTCAATATTTGCCATCACTGACTCATGGTCATGGTTCTTCAAATCTTTAAGGGTGTTTTATACAAGTCATTAGGTTGCCATGAACTTGCCATGAACTCCCACAAGGCCACTGGAGAAGAGGCATTCTCCTGGGGGGGTGGGGGTGGGGCTGCCAGCTGCTGGGGCTGTCTGCCTAAGAGCTGCGTACTAGATACTTGGCAGAGAATGACCCACTAAGTTGAATTAGTTGGGTATTTTTCGTCACTGGAAAATCGTGAACTTGAAGCACAAAGGTTTCTATAATTTTTAGACTTCCATCCCAAATGTCAAAAATGTAATGCTCCCCAAAGATCTGTAATTTTCTTGTCCCCAAATTGAGTGTTCTAAAAATTCCCATTTTGCCCTTAAAGGCACGCCCATGCAGATCCCAGCTGGAAGGTTCTGGAGCTGTAAATTCAAAGCTTCCTCAGTTACCCAAAACAGGACTGTGCAGAAAGGGCATTCAGAGCCTGACATTTATGGTCGTTTGATTTATGTTTGTTCACTCAGAGGGCGAGTGGTTTTTCAAAGGCCGGTCCACCGTGCGGTTTTTCAAAACAGGCTAACAGATTATTTACTGGAGGATTGGACATTACAAAGGAAGAAGGGCTGAACGTTGGCCTGAAGGAAGGACGAGGCTAGCAGGAAACGAGAAAGAAAAGCAGAGTGGATGGCTGCTGAGAAGGTGGCCCCACGAGGCCGCAGGAGCCTTCCCGGGCGAGGCTTTGCGCGTTGCGTAATTATTGAATTATAGAGAATCGAGGGCACCGCAAGTCAGCCCAGGAGCAGCGCGTCTCGCTGTCTCAAGTGCCTCGGTGCCCACAGATTCCTAATGGAAGTCTGGGTCCATCTCCCACCCTCCCCTGGAGCTGTGTGCACTGAAGCCACCCCAGATGTCTTCACAGGGTCCTCCCCGCCCCCTCCCTGCCGCCCCCAGCACCCTAGCCAGTCCTGCCGCATTTCCTCTTGACACCCCTCCTTTCTTCCTTCCACAGTCCCTCTGGGTCTTTCTCTGCTCCCTCAGGCCCCCGTGGCAGGTTCGTAAACATTTACCGTCACCCTGTGGATTGGTGTCATTCCTGTCTTTTTCCTCACGTGCTAGTTTCCTCCACGTGGGTCTGTGGTCAGTGACCGCCAGCTGGACAGCTCCTGTCCCTAGCCGAGCCCACGCAGGTTGCACCCAGCCACCCACCCCTCCGCGTGCCTCCAGACTAGACCCACTCAAGTCTGTGCTCCTCCCACAGCCCAGCCCTGGACCGGCACCGCCGTCCTCCCCCGCTCCTTCTATCTTTTTCCCGAAGCAGGTGCCACATTAAAGCACCTCGTGTCTCTTCCTGTGACAGGGTCAAAGCATGACATTCCCATTTCCTTGCTCATTTGTTTTGTCCTTTCATTTAATAAACGTTTATCAAGCTCCTATACCAGGCTCTGCAAAGTATATCAGAATGATGAATGAGACAAGATCTCAGGAAATGTACGGCCTAATGATGAAGAGTTTAGAGCACGGCATGGGTGCCTGTGCTATAGTCACGTGCTCCACAAGCAGAACCGTGAGCCTCCCCCCTGCCCGGGCTCTGACCTACCCCACCCTGAGCGTCACCTGTGCACAGGACACCCCTTTCCTGGGAAGGGCACCTCCCCACTGTGTACTCACAACACATCCAAGCCGCTCATTTGATCTCTCCCAGAAATTCGGTCTTCAGGGAGTCTCCCCCAGACGACCCTCCCCCGGCTTCCAGCCGCTGTGGCCCTCCAGTCTCACAGAAGGACGTTAAGTGCTTACATGGGCACCACCGCCCAACACAGCACCTTCCTTCCATAGCGTGGAGTGTTTCTGTCATCACCTGCGGCATCCCATCTGTGTATGTCCCACGTGAGCCTTCAGACCAGAGTGCTTCAGTGTCAGCGCTGTTGACATTTGAGGCCAGGTCATTCTTTGTGGGGGGCTGTCCTGGGCACTGTGGGGTGTAGAGCAGCATCCCTGGCCTTTACCCACTGGATGCCAGAATCAGCCCTCTCTCCCCAGTTGTGACAACCAGAAATGTCTCCAGACATTGCCAGATATCCTCAGTGTGGACGGTGGGGGCCAAGGTCACCCTGGTGGAGGACCACGACCACAGGTCTACACTGAAACCTCAAGGGCAGGGTCACTTCCCTTAGACCCTGGAGTTCTCTCACACAGATGGTGTTGGGGACATTGCCTTTCAGTTTCCTCTATGACTTTGAACTGTACTGACGGCCACTGTTACAAAGGCAGAGGGATTGGCCAAAAGACATTTTTTCTTGATCTCTATACTTAGGACTTTAGAACCAATCTATCCTTTAAATGTCCGCACAGAAATACGATGTTTTGTGTATATGTTTCTACACACAGCAATAAAATAAGATCACTGTGTTGAGGGTTTCATTGTCATTTACATGTCACTTTCAGTACCATCAAGAGGACCAGCTCTTCTGAACGCGTGTCTCCCGGCGGCCGAAGGGAAAGCTACGGGGATTCCAAAGGCAACCGGAATCGCACAGGGTCGACCAGCAGCTCTTCTAGTGGCAAGAAGAACAGTGAAAGGTATAGGGTGTCTTATCCGGGGGTCCTGCCGCTCCGATACTTTGTTACCTCTTTTCCCCAGAGATGAATCAGAAGACCCCTAACATGCACACAAGCTAGGAGCTCTCGTGGGCGCATGGGCCTCCCCCTAGGTCACTGTGGGCGCTTAATCCAACAGCCATTTGGGTGGGGCAGCCGTAATCACAGCTCACACCAGCACTTGTCCAAGTAGAAAGTTATAACTTGGACCCCCAGCACTCTTATGCAGACAGAAATAGTTCTCAAAAATTTGCTTAGTACCAACCATGTGGAATTGGGAAGCTGTTCTGACTTTCCATAGGGAGCACTTCATATTTCTGGTTTTCTCTGCTGCCATTTTAAAGTTCATGTTAGTGGATGTTTGTCAGAGTGGGTGAAAAGTTGTAATTTTATTGATTTGTCTAACCTGTTTCTTTAATATTGCCCTAACGCCAGAAATAGGAACCGTTTTCTTTCTGGTTTTAGGAAATACACACTTACGCCTAATTTTGAATTTTTCTTTGAGGCCAAGTATTTGATGGATTATGATAAGTGTCTGTGAAACTAATAGCAACATCTTATTAGTGAAAGCAAATTTTGGCGTTTTAATTTCTTGTTTTATGTTTAAGAATGTATTGTGTACACGGGATCTACCTAATTTACCTTATTCTGTCTTTTAAACATCGTGCTTTAATTTTATTCTCTCTGTTGAGCAAACCTTAGGAAGGAATTTCAGCTTCACAGGCTAAAATTTTCCCCCCCAAATGTTCATGTAAGGAGAAGGCTTAGTCATTTAGCAGCAACTGACTCCAACCCGCAGGCTGTACAAATTCCAAGTTTGTATATCCATTCTGATTCAGCCCTGTAAAGGAAGCTTAAACTCTTTTTCAGTTTTATTCCTAAATGATACCTTTTGTAGAAAAAATGCAGGCACTTCTCACATCTATAGCAGAGGTCAAGTCCATGGTCAATTAACAATCTCAGAAACCACTGACAGGGGTTCTGTCTTCTAATTTAAACTGTTAGTGCTTCTTATCAGAAGATTATGCTAATTAGGTGATAATACCTTGGAGATAAGGCCAAGTGGTTGCAATGACAACAGTGTGCTGTGCACATGAGAGATGCCTTGTGGCCTGTGGGTGTCTCTGAATTCAGGATGAGCTTGGAAGTTGACCTGAAAGCTGTCTAGATCTTGGCAGCTCTTAAAAACTTGGCCCCTTCTGTGCACATCTGAGTTTTATTAAGAATTTCCAAAAAGAATCTGCATTGTGCAAACTCCAGATCTGTTTTATCTTTTAAATCCCATGGCTTTGGTAAATGTGCTGGGTAAATATTTCCGTAAAAGATATTTACAAAGGGTTTTTTTCTTTTTTAATGTCCACAATAGGAAATTTTGATTTGAAAATGAGGGACTGGAAAATTTACTAATCATTTTCTAAAAATAATTGAAGCAACTGAACATGTCCATTGAAAGATAAATTCTTTGTCTCATTAGACGCCAGGAATAGTTGGGGCCAGCAATAGCGACAGTGAGCTGCGTGCACCTTAGGAAATTCAGAGGGCAAGTTCCTGCCTTCCCTTAGGGAATGGCTGGTACTGACAGACGCCGTTAGGGGCCGAAAGGCGTAACGGCAGCAATGACTCAGACAGGAAGACACGGCAGCTAAGAAGCAGTCAAGTTGGTGATTCAGCCGCTGCCTGACCCCTTTCATTCATTCTTCCTCTCCATTCCTGTGTAAGCAGCCCACTCTTGGGCAGCCGTGACCTGGCACTAGAGCAGAGCTGGCCACTATAGCATAATGACCCATGCCCAGTTTCCAAGGTGGAGAGCGTGTACAGACAAGGAGAGGGAGTGGGCCTCATGCAGTTTCCCTTTTCAACATGATGGCATTCAGTGGTCTCAAGGTAGTGTGGTCTCCCCATCACTCGCGAGTATCTGTCCATGGTTCCAGGATGCTGCTTACACTTAAATAGATTGCCCGTGTCTGGTTACGGTAGGCAGCAAGACACCATGGAAAAGGCGCAGGCTCTTGAGTACAAGAAAGATCTGGGTTTGTAAGCTAGTTCTGCCACTTCTCGGAGCCTCAGTTTTTTCCTCTGTGAATTCTGGCTTTTATACCTAATTCCCTTGAATCTTATAAAGGAGCTAGCTGGTAGGAATACGCCAGCATGGTGCTTGGCACGCCGTAAATAGGCATGGCGTTGTGGCAGCTGTGAGAAAGTGAGACCCCTGCAGAGCAGAGGCTTTTCAGCATCCCAGCTTTATTTTCCTCATTCGTCAGATGAGGCTGTTAGATGATATCTGAAGTTATTAGCCTTTTTTTTTTTCTGGTCTGACATACGTTAAATTACATCCACATAAGTGACACAGTCCTGTGAGCTCAACCCAGATTTTGGCAACATCTAAAAGTGGTTAGGTGGAAATAAAGTATTGTATATCCTCACGGTTCTCATGGTTATTAATGTCACATCAGAATGAGCTGGCCTGTGCTCAATGAACTAAGTCAGACGGAGGAATGGACAAGCACCGCATGATCTCACTTATATGCGGAATCTAAAAAACCAAAACAAATGAATAAGCAAAACAAAACAGAAACAGACCCATGGATACAGAGAAGGAGCTGATAGTTGCCAAAAGGGAGGTGGGTGGGAAGATGGATGAAATGGGGGGAAAAAAAAGGAACCAAGATACCTTGACACTGGGCTTGGGGTCCCAGTCCTGAAAGTTAGGCTTTAAAAACAAAACAAAATAGGTTACATACAAAGACTGAAAACCTGGAATTACTTCAGCCTGCTCGTCAGCACTGTGGCAGCTGGAAGACTACATGTCTTCAAAGGAAAAAAGGAGAGGAAGGGGCTGGTGCCGGCCGTGTACGATTCAGGAAAGCTCATCACGATGCAAGGGAGGGAGGAGGAGGATATTAGAGGGGTCGCTTTGGATCTGGCCTGATTTGTAGAAGAGGCAAGTCATTCAAACAGCCGAGCTTGAACTTGTATCGGTCGCAGATTATTTGCTGAAAAGCTCACAGTTGCCACACACCCTGTGCAAAGCTGTCGTTAGCACGTATGACGCTTTTGTGAAAATTAGAAAAAGGCTCCTCTTATGCAAGGAAAGCAATTCCACATCAGCATGTGTTTCTCAATTACAGTAAATATTACAGCAAATATAAAGCCACTCCATATCAGTTGTACACATCTTATTGTTTACCCTAAAATAATAATGTGTTTGAAATATAAACATTCATATTGTCCCAGGTTTAATAATTCATTTTAAAACGATTCAGCTTTGCTTTCATAGAAGCCGTATTCTTTATGATAGTTTCAGTCTTCTTGCTTCTGTATCTCATTTTCTTTGGAAATGGTCTCTGGATTTGACCATCTTCCATGTGACATTGTAGGCTTTCATCTAACATTTCACAATATTTTGATGGTAACGAGCCACAGCATTTTAATAGCACTTAATCTTTGCACTGACCAAACTTCCTGAAAAACAAAAGCAGTATATGGCAATGTAGTACTTACTTTATATATTATTGATAGTAACTGAATATTAACAATTATATAGTGATTTGTGTCTTGGTGAAGCACATACTGACTTTAAATAGGGAATCGACAATAACATTTTGATGCATGACCTGTACTAATGTAACTACTATATTAATCCAAGAAGGAATTTTTAATTGAAAAGTGTTTTGTTTCAGACAGAAAAACTGCTACAATTTATATTAGATGTCATTAGACTGATAAACTATTTCAATTATAAAACTAGTTCACCCTTTGTAGTTCTGACTGTCAACTTTGTAAGCAGGATACTTTGTTTCACATCAGAAAATTTTGGAAAACAGGCTGATTTTGTTAGAAAAATAAGTGTTTCAGCCATCTGCTAGCAACCTTGTTGTAACAAACATATAAACTGCTCATCTTTGGAGTTGACAAATATGAAAAAAAAACTTCAAAATACTGAACATGTCTACCCTGTGTGTGTGGTTCCTTAGATGCCGTTTCGTAGTGCACAACCTGAACACCCGTACTGGCCGTTTTAGCCGAACTGTGACGTCCAGAACCGCTGAGCTGGACACTGAGCTCCATCCTTCCTAAAGCTCTAGCATTTGATGGAATAGTCTTTCTAATGACACCTCAAGACCCTCCGATTTGTTCTTTTACTTTAGCATCACGGCAATCTCAATCTTAATCCTCAGGCGAGGGCTCAAGGCCCTTCATCCCTTGTGCCCTGAGATCCAGCTCTCACTTTTCCCCAGCAAGATTTTTGTTCTTTTTTTGAGGTAATTTATTTATTACACAAGTAACGTGTTTTAGGAAACCCAGATGCACAAAAAAGAGGGAGTGGATATCACCTATAATCGTACCGCTCAGAACACACAGCTAACATTTTATTACATTTCCATCTAGTTTTGTTTCTAGGGTGTAGTGTATCATTTTGACATAAATTATACTCTTCTGCACATGTTTTAAAACCCTCTTTTTCATTTACTCTGTAACTATCTCTTTGTGTCAGTAAATAGACTCCTACAACGTCATTTTAGGTCACCATTTACTCTAGTTGTGGACCACCATTTATCTAAATGCACTTCAGTCGGACATCCAGTTACCAACAAGGTCTTTCCAATCCAGTCCGACCAGCCCAACATCTAGAACAATGCCTGGCACATAGTAGGAACACAGCAAACGTTTGTTGAATAAATCTTTTTACCCCAATCAATATAACAAAAAAGGTTAAAAGGATGGGGGCGATATAGCCATAAACAGGTGTTAATCCCAGCTCTGCCACTTTTTGTTGTGTGACTGAACAAGTTAATCTCTTTGGGGTTTCCTCAGTGCCAGTAAAAACAGTACCTACCTCCCAGGGTTGTTTTAAGGATTAAATAAGACCAAGTACGTAGAATCCCTGCACGAGCCTGCCTACTGTTTGCACTGGGTAAATAGTAGCTGCGGGGCTTACCTTCTCTCTCCCGAAGTGTTGGAACCAATGTTTGCACACCTCT